GAAAACATACTTTATGCTCGTGTCAGGCCCATTTTTTCTATGAGCGTGTGAAAAACGCGTCTTCACGCAACAATTTGCGTGCGGAAAGTAGCACATTTTCGCACCTCGTAGAAAAACACGCACGTAGATACCACTGTTTTCGACTTGGTTCAACTTTGTTTGAGTCTCCCATTACACAAACACAGATAATTGGAGTGAATGAAGCTTCTTGGGATAAAGCAACAGTCAGCAACACAATAAATCCAATGTAAACTTGTAACTTGTAAACAAATCTCGCCAACACACCAGCTGATTTTTCGCTCCGCACAGTGACGTCACAAGCGGTACTCTCGCCGCAGGGGGTCGTTTTGCTAGCTTCGCTAATTTCGTTTTCTTGTTTTCGATTTATCAGAAAAAATAAAGGGTTTCTAGATGTTTTAACGCTTAATACGTGTTTTGTGGACCTAAAACCACTACTTTTTATTACAATTGAAAAATAGTGAACATCCCTATTATCCCTAACTCCGTCATTGTAATGTTCGCCACAATATTGATACTTTAATATATCTACATTGCTCTGTAGAGCTTCAAGTAACTTGTCCCAGATCAGTGCGCTTTCTTTGGGTGCACTGTTGTGGACTTTCCACAACTTTAAAACTTGAGGTTTGCGAAGAAGGTTCTGGGTCGTATCCGGCGTAAACAAGAAAAAAAACAAGTTAAATCCTTAGATCACTAGGTACTAGAATTTATTACTTAATTGGTTGAGAAAATTAATATACTGATGAAGCCACTGTGCGTATATTGTGTGACGTGGTAGCAGAGATTAATACATGGTTATGTGGAAATTAACATTACTACTACTGCTGCTTGCTTAGCGACAAACAGTTTTATTGCCAACCTAATCACGTGACAAAATGATGGTTTAAAATTATAAAGTAACCTACTTTTAGGTGGCAACCACGGTTTGCTGCTTCAGCATTTAGCATTTACTAGGAAATAGAATATAAGTTGCATAAAATGTATTACAATGTTTTATGTTTAAATATAATTATGACTTAAAATGAAGGCTTAAACTAAGTAAAGGACAATCAAGATAATTGATATTGACTTTACAACAGCACACGCCAGTGGCGCAGCCAGAAATTTTGTCTGGGGGGGGGCCATGCAGAAAAAATTATAAGAAAATACACAGATCCACTTTCCTATAAACTTTTTCTCTGATATGAGCAGTTTTCAGCTTTCGTCTACTTCATATTTTTTTAGTTTTCTCTGAAGCCTTGGGGGGGGGGCCGGGCCCCCTGGCCCCCACCCCTGGCTGCGCCACTGACACGCTATCGTAACTTCCTTCGGCATATTACCCAACTGCTCAGATGTCATTTTGAGTAATCCACCCGATCGAGAGAATTCTTGTAGTGATGGTGTCATCTTTTTATAACTATCACGATCCATCTGTGGCGTTACAGACATGGTTGGTTGTGACTTTGTTTTGATGATTTTAGGGGAAACGTTAAACACAAGTGTCCACATCAAATTGTTGTTGACAGTCATATATGTATATAGTAAATATTTCTTATAGCCTCTGGTCCTGTTTTGAGATAGCGTACTAATTCAATAGATGGTGGTATATCACCAAAACTGTCATAGTATGTTACTTCACACATATCTTTTCGGATAGGCCACCCAATATGTCCCTACACCTTGCATACTATCCAAATTAATAATTGCTGTCTCATGTCCTCGCGCACCGTATACACCTCTAAAATATGTAAGCCTACCATATTATTCTGATAAAAAAAACGGGACATTTTTATGAAGCAGAGTTGTTTCATATTCATAGATTTATAAAAAAAAATAGCGCCGCAGACAATTTTTTTTTTTTTCGAGGCCACGTCCGTAGTCCGAACCCACGAATAATACACACTACTACTATAGGATAGCCTATCCTCATAAGGCCTATGTAGAACACATCTAAAGCTTCCCACCCCACCAAATCATCATTTGTGACGTAGGCAGCATGTCGTTTCTCGCCTTGACGTAGGCTGTTTGCACCATAGGTTATGATTCCGCGGGCTTTTGCTTTATGCATACTTGTTTTACTACATTAATTAACATTCTAAAACAACTATTTTTGGATCTCGTTTACATCTTCCTATTTGCTTGTGAATCAAAGTTAAATAAAATTTTTCATCATGAATTTAAATTCTAAACTACGACTGCTGGCGCAAACAGCTGACGTCGCTGACGACTTAGTTGATGACGTCGGCAATGGTGATATACCAATATGGCAGCGATTAAATGTCAAAAGGTATGTTTTCGCTTGTGCATCTGGCGGTTGCGTCGGGCAGCAGCCGCCGGCGGCAGCCTACTGATCCAATGCGTTTTATCAATTACCATAACCGTTTTCGCTTATGCGTCTCAGCGGTACCGCCAGACATCCGACGGCAAGCGTCTGCGTCTCGACTGAGCCGTGGTCAGTCTGGCGGCAGCCGCTCTGCGGTTGAGAGTTTTGTTCTTATAGTTTAGTGCAAAAAATCTGATGAAAGCCCCAAACTTAGTCTCATCCAAATTTAAGTGGTTTTCAATTAAAATATTATGAAATCCTTCTGTATGTCGTCTTTTGAAAAGTTCGTGAGCTTTTGTACATTTTCTTGTCAAAGCCCTAAGGTACTCTTCTTCTTCCTGTTCTATTAGAAGGACCATCAATAAACGTTTCCTCTTCATCCTGAAGAATTATACCTAGTAGGTACGACAATCAAAATGTATTGCTGCGCAACGCAGCAAATGAAAACATCCAACTGCACAGGCAGCCGCTGCATCTAGCGGCTGCTGCCCGACGCAAGCGCCAGACGCACAAACGAAAACATACCTGAATGCTGTCGAATAACCACCACGTTGCGATTTGCTGAGACTTGAGATGAGGCGCAAAAATCGATTTATTTATGTCACCGCAGGTCTAACTACTGCATACTGGGAATGAGTCGCAAAAATCGAATTATTTTACGCTTTCCAAAATATCAGAGAATATGGGACATTTACGTGTCCCCACAACAAAGTTGGGACGCGGGACATGGACCTTGAAATAAGGGACTGTCCCGTATAATACGGGACGTATGGCAGGCTTAAAAATATGGTATATTTATTTTTATTGCGTACCTCCCTATATCTATATTGGATAGTGCTCCTTGGGGTAGGGATTCGATTAGTTTTTTGATTTATCGTCCATGAATAATCCTAATCCCGTTCGATATGGTTTCAAATACAATCCGCTTCCTCGCGAATTAAGGTATAAGGTAGCTCCTGTTTTTTCTGTGTTAGCATTTTTCATAGTTTTTATTGCACGAACTATTCCGCTGATCCCTCCTGCTAGAGATCCTAATGCTGAAAGACCCGTAAATATTGGTATAAGAGGTAACAATTCTCCAACTTTGGGTATAGGTAGAATTCTTGATGTGCGAATCTTTCGCCTACCGCCGACTGCTTTCACAGACTTGCGTGCAGCTGCCATTGCTATTTTAGAAGCTTTCAGGAAATGTTTTTCAACAAATTTCCGTCCTCCAACTTTCATAAGTTCTGAATGAATTGGTCTTCTAATAGCCGATCCGAAAGATACCTACTTTTTGAACTCGACGTCTACTTGTCCGTTTTGTGTTAACCCTCTTTACACCACTATTGCGTTGCTTTCCTTTGTAGGACCTCTTCTTTTTTTTTTCAATACAGTTGATACACAACCCATCCCAAATCGTTGTTTTCCTTTCATGATATTTGCTACTAACCAAACAGCAGCCCTTTCATCGACACTAGCGTCTTTAAATTTCACTCTCTCCCAAGCTCGCTGTTCCAACTCGTAGTCTGCCTGATGTCGGGCACTTAAATTATCTTTATTATGTAAATATGATATATCGTGCTTTTTGCATGCAGAATCCAAGAGATTTATACCTCTGTCACCTCTTGCCACACGTTTTCTAACTTTAGTGCCCGGACCACAATAATGGTAGCCGGGAATATGTAACTCGACCGGGAGACTAATAATCAGTGATTTCATAATACCACAACCAGTCTTATCAATTTGAATAACGAAAACGTCGAAAAAATCACCCTACCCTCGCCTTCTAACTGCATACAGTTAGAAGATGGATCCACTAGATAACCTTGGATTCCTAAAGGACTTTGGACTGGCAGCGCTTCTTTTAGCAGGAAACCTGAATTTAGCAGCAGAAGGAGAGGTACAATAGATCAACCTAAGTCGTAGTGCAACTGACTCCTCCAACATATATACAACATGCAAAGAGACCACAAGTAAAACCTCAATCCATTAGTCGGAAAAAGAATTGAAAATAAAAGTTAGAGTCTGCTTTCTTCATTTCTCTATTTATAGTCGCCTTTCGCTCTCAGTAGAGCTCATCAGAGTGGCTTAGGGCTTATTAAATGTGGCTAAGAGCTTCAAATCTTAGAGAAAGTAAAGGAAACAATCTCTGGATATCGTTTGACCATAAATCAAATGAAATAATAAGGCATGATTGTAGGTTGTAGCATCATCTTCAATTTCAACATGATCTTGGTGATTTTGTATTATTTTTATGATTAACCTAGGTCAAGTCAAGCATGATAGTTTTCACCACAAAAATGGATAAACCAATGACTAGGTAGGTATTTCTCAAAAAATACCATTGGGTATGTCCTGCCAGTTTTTATAATATTAGCAAAATAATGTCCCAAGAGTATAATTTTTTTAAATATTTCTCTAGGGCATTATGAACAATTATTATAACATAATAAAAAAAAGGAAAAGAACAATTTAATATCAACTATTAAATGTTATGATATAATACCCCTGGATTATCTACTATTAGGTTTACCTACACGTGCTCATCAGATATCGTATCTAATATACAATAAAAAATAAAGTATATTCGAACTACGGATTAACTTTTTACAATTTCATGGTGATGATAAAATATTCTGTGGATTAATGGCCAAAGATTTTTTTGATAATAGTATTCAAGTACATACCTATATAAGGATTTTTTTCCTTTGCTTTCAGTCAGCATTTTCAGTTACCATACGCCAAAATGAAATTCTCGAGTGTCCTTGCTTTGGGGTTAGCAATTTTGATTGCCTGTGTTGATGCCAGACAACGTAAGAATTTCAACGATAGAATCTAAATTTTATTACATACTGTAGCGTAAAATACACCTTTACTGACTTAGTTTTAGTCCGGAAAATTAACTTTTACAGTACTGGAGTCCGGTAAAATTTTGTTTCACCGGACGTTTCTACCAGTAAAAAAAAAAAAATCCGTTTCCAAATCATACTTTCAACAAAACAGTACCTAGAATAGTTTATTGTGTATTTAGGTGGTACTTTTCCTCCGAAATATACATACTATTTTTTCTGCGATTGCTTAAGTTGGCAACATGGCACCGCCGAGCGATGTTGTGTCCGAAAACGAGAGCGATATAAATGAAAAAAAAGATGATATCAAAGTGTTTTTGAAATGTCATAAGACATCTAAGTGTTCAATAGTATTTTGTGTTAATTGTTTTCAACCCCAACATAGAAGCTGTGCAGCCAGGAATGCAGAAATACTGGATTCCACACGTATAAAATGTTGCGACAAGGTAAACATTGATGAAAATACTGGTCAAATAGTGAATCCAAATGATGCAGAAATAATGCGTATTAAAATTCAATATTTAGAGAGATTAGTGAGCGAAATTACTGATAAGAATGTAGTATTGAAGGAAAACAATAGTTTACTTTTACAAAGGTTACAATTGCTTGAGACTAATAATTATAGTTCGGAGCAGCAAAAAATTCGAAACGTAAACATAGACATTCCAAAGGAAAAAACACCATACCTGGGAATTTTAAGTGAGGATCTACAGGGGACCGGTGCCGGTGTTGCCAATACAAATAGAATGTCTCAGAATAATTCACAACCGGTAATTTCAACGATTTCGAGAACTGCTACGGGAAAAAATCAATCTGGCCCCCGTCAGGAGGATAGAAACTACAGTAGCTCTATCCGCAACTCAAATTATAACAGTAATATTCAAGTATCTAATAATAATAGTGAAAATCCTCAAAATAAAAGAAAATTGCACCTTCGTCTTCCTAAACCGCCTGGTTTTGGGGAGGAAACGAGTGGGAGGAGTGATGATGATTCTCCTTTTGTTTTTCCTAAAAATTGTGGTTTCAGGCGCAAAAAACGACTAGGAAATGCTCAAACAGAAGTAAACAGTGACTTTGTCGGTGGTGACAGGCGCGTATGGCTCTATATTTATAGAGTCAAGCGTGAATGTACAGAAAACACAATTGTTAACTACATAAAGAAGAAAGATGGTTACGAAAATATCCCTATTACTGTCAAGGAAATTCCGTCCGATCCCAAGTATCTCAAACGTTTTGCTGTGATAGCACCTTTTTCTAAAAAGGATGAGTTGTACAATCCCAGTTTTTGGCCAAACCTTGTTGGCGTGACTAGGTTCAAATTCGATAAGCACACCCATTTTCTGCAAACTGCTGGTGATTTTTTCGCCGACAACTAATAGTTCACCCAACCCATCGGAAGGAAAAGCATGTGAGACAAATATTCTAAAAAACAACCGCTTTGTTTTAGCTCATATTAATATTAGGTCATTGCTTCCATCATTTGGTGAACTGTGTGACATGGTTCTTTCGGAGGGCTTTCATATTTTGGGAGTTACCGAAACTTGGCTGACTACAAACTTTCCTGATTCCTGTATAAATATACCAGGCTACCAAGTGTTTCGGAATGACAGGACTACTAGAGGAGGAGGAGTAGCACTCTATGTGGTTTCTACAATCGAAGGTACTATAATTGACCTTGGTGCACTGGCTGAAAATAACATTGGCGTGGAACAGCTCTGGTGTGGAATACAATTTAAGGGACTAAAGTGTCTGGTTGGAGTAATTTATAAGCCGCCATTGGTTGGCTATAAAGAATTGGAGGTAGTAGAAAATATTCTTTTCACACTTGCTCCTGCATATGGCTATACTTTTTTGATGGGTGACTTAAACATAAATTTGCTTATAGAGAGTGTTGAATCAAAATACCTGAAGTCATTGTTAAATCCCTTTAATTTGATACAAATAATTAATGAACCCACTCGTTTAACTAGAAACACCGATAGTTTAATTGATGTTATTTTTATTGATAAAAATCTAATAGCTAGTGAAACAGGAACTATGGAAATGTTTAATATGTCAGATCATAGGTTAGTGTATGCATATATAGATTTAAATATTCCGAGGACACATGCAAAAATGGTAACTTATAGGGATTTCAAAAACTTTGATTTGCAAGACTTTCATGCAGATATGTCTGCTATAAATTTTAACTTAATGAATCAGGGTACTCCTGATACTATAATTGAAAACATAAATTCAGTTTTAATTGAGAACTTTGACAAACATGCTCCCATTAAAACTGTTAAAATTCAACGTAAATATAAGCCCTATATAACAGAAACCATAAAACAAATAATAAAATTGAAAAAGAATGCTTTCAAGAAATATCTTAGAACCAAAAACATAGTGCATAAGAATTTTTATGTAGATTTAAAAAATTACTTAAATTTTGCTATAAAGAACGAAAAAAAGGCGTATATGACGTTTGAACTGAATAAATTAAATAGGGATTCTAAACGTATGTGGTCAAAACTCAATGATTGGAATGTTCATTGTAAACCTGTATATGAAATACCCACACACTTGAAAAATGTAGACGCGATTAGTGCCCATTTTGCAAGTGTATTTCGAATGGATGTGCAGGTAGATCAGGAAGTTGTCGAGTTCTTTAATAGTGCCAACTTTGTGGGAATTGACGAATTGGAACAATTCTCTTTTGAAGAAATTTCCCAATTCGAAGTATACAATGCTTTTAGGAGAATTAAATCCAAAGCATTCGGAATAGATAATATAACATATGACATGTTACTTTTCAGTTTAGAATATGTTGCACCGACAATTACCAACTTGTATAATTCATGTCTACTCTCTGGAGAGTTTCCTGAAGTTTGGAAAAAGTCAATTATTACTCCTCTTCCCAAAAATGCTAAAATTGGTACTCTTGATGAACTGAGACCAATAAGTAAACTACCAATTCTCTCAAAGATGTTTGAAATTATTATGTCTGATAGAATGAATAGTTATATTGCAAACAAAAATATTCTGCCTCCAACCCAGTCGGGTTTTAGGGCTCAACATGGAACTGCGACCGCTCTCAGTAGGATATGCACTGATATTTCGTGTTCCATGGATCAATCATATGTTAATTGCCTGGTATTGTTAGATTATAGTAAAGCCTTTGATTTGGTGCCACATGATCTGCTGATAGCTAAGTTGGGATACTATGGGTTTTCTGAGGCGGCCTGTAAATGGTTCAGGGGCTACCTCGGGGGGAGACAACAGGTTGTGGAGTTGGATGGGGCGAGATCTGGCCTTGTTTCTGTCACAAAAGGCGTTCCACAGGGCAGCATACTTGGCCCACTCTTGTTTAACATTTTCACTGCTGACTTGCAGCGACAGGTCGGTTTTTGCGGCATCCACTTCTACGCGGACGACACACAATTGTTGTCAGGTTTTCCTCCGGAGGTTGCCAGTTGGGCAATGGAAAGGATAAATCAGGATTTGAATAGTGTTTGGAAGTGGTCGTTGAATAATGGGTTGCTGTTAAATGTTAAAAAATGTCTTTATTTAATTATAGGAACAAAAACGGCTAGGAATCACTTTTTTACTTACAACTTTACAACATTACACTTCAATAGTGTTGAAATTCCGCTTGAGGATTGTGCAAGAAACTTGGGAGTTTATTTTGATAGTAATTTAAATTTTGAATTACATGTGGAAAAAAAAATAACATCTATTATGATTAAACTTAAACAACTGTATAGTTTCAAGTATATTCTGCAAAGTGAAACCAAAGCGAAATTAATAGATTCTCTATTGCTATCTCAAATAGACTATTGTAATGTGGTTTATTATTATTACCTGACAAATGAATATAAAACCAAAATTCAAAAAACTCAAAACTCGTGTTTGCGATTTACTTACTGTATCAACAAATATGACCACATAACTCCAATATATATAAATAATAAGATTTTGAAATACAACCTCCGGGTCGAGTTGCACTTTGCCTTATTTGTTCAAAAAATCTTCAAAAGTGGGCTCCCAAGGTACCTTTACAGTTACTTTGATCTCCGCTTGGATTTGCATGGTCTAGATTTAAGAAATATTGTTAGATTTGCTATTCCACAGCACAGAACATCTAAATTTGAAAATTGTTTCTCCTATAGAGCAATAAGCCTACTTAACTCCCCCTTATATTTTAAATTAGCTAATGTTTCTAAGGGCGCTTTAAAATTATATTTGAAAAATATTTTATTAGTTGAAATGTTGTAATAATAATAATATTGTGAACCCCTAATGTACTTTTGTTTGATGAGTTTTGAAAGCTGTGTAGTGTGTATAGCTTTGCTATATATTATTTTAAGGCAACATGGAAGAACGCTTGAGCGAATGTTAGCCGCTTGTGTAATAATGTATTTTGTATTTTATTTTATTTTATTACGCAATAAATATTTTTATTATTATTATTATTAAATATCTCCTAAATGTTTGTCTTCTTGTTTCAATTATTCAGCAGTACGGGAATTACTTTCCCGGTCTAGGCCGGGAAAGTGATTCTCGTATTGTTATCTATTGATTCCTTAGCAACTATTGAACGATAATTAATAATAATAATTAATAATTAATAATAATAATACCAGAATATTGAGTTTGGTGGCTTGTCAACCGGTCGAAAATGTTGACATTTCTTGTCAATCGCAGAAAAAAATATTGTCGTGTTTCGTCCGGGAAAACCAGGCCCTGCGATCTCTTATTGCCAGTAATAAACCACATAATAACTCTTTTCCGTTTTTCTAGATGTCGCTGACAACAACAGAATTGTAAAATACCAGCACATCAGGAACACGTCCGATGTCGATAACATTGACATGAGATTGACATGTCAACTTATGACAATATGCCAAAATATTCATTTGATCATAACTAATAATTCATAATGTTTTTCGTTCGCCGGTCTTGCATTTCGTCTTTCTTTGTGTTGTCAAGTGTTTCTAAGTGATTTCAAAGTGGTTTTGTGTGTTTCACGAAGACCTTCAAACTTTATAGATTGGAAGATCTATTTTTATCTTTGTTGATTAGATTAATGACAGGTTCAATTAAACATCAATCAGAACTTTGAATAAATATGTTGAGGATATCCTTAACCATCGATAAAGGAACTGTCTTTTGATCTAATTAACAAAACATCAATTAATTTAAGCAAACATTAATGTCCCAAAGTCTAGAATAAACAAATTTGAACAGACCGACTGTAATACGAACAGGGCGCCATCTATCATAAAAATGCCTTGAAGCCCTATGTAAAGTAGGTGTCTGTAGCGTCGATGCAAAACCAGTAAATAATGAGTTTCCAATATGGTAGATGGCGCTAGCTTGGCTCAATTTTGTTGACAACAAAATTTACACTGAGATTCCATTCTCGACAGTTTATATAGTATTTATCTCTGGGGAAAACTTTTATAGTAATGGGGTTTCAAAACTCACACATCTCACTCATACTGCCAAATTTTATTTTCCGGAGTTATAACATAATTATCTATTGTCAACTGTGAATTTTTTAAGGCGACAACTGCAGGGAAGCACCAGGACTTGAAGTAACGTCCAGTAACGTTGACTGCTCCCTTCCAGTCAATCAAGTAACTCTGCACCCTCACCCTACACAATGCAATCTCTATTTACAATGTGTTCACGGTGTCGCTATTGAAAGACCTTGTGCTCGTGGAACGGAATTTAGCCCCTCAGTTGGCGTATGTGTATGGCCTCAAGATTCTGGTTGTAGAAGTACGCCTGGTATACTATAAAATGGTATTTGCATTTTTTAACAGGTAATAATTTTTTTCTTATTTTTCTAGGTCAGAGCGTTGATCCGAGTATTTGCAACAGTGATTCATCCAGGTAAATGTTCTTACTTACTTTCTCAATTTTGATTTTATTAGAAGTAAAAATAAAATAATAACATTTTTTACAGGCTCTGCGACGACTTCCGTTGCGATAATGTTATCTAGCAATGAAGGACTGCTTGATTCACGTACCCACTTCTAGAAGATCTGCGTAGACCGTAACTTTTTTCAAACGGAGATCTATTGTTAGTTTATGAATAAATTTGTCAAAAAGTAAAGGAATTGATGCAAATTATAAATTCAGTATTAGCTATTTCAATAGAAACATAAAAGCAACTCTGGAGAAATAAGTTACAGATTAGAAAATGTGACGAAAGTACATTGCATCAGGTTCAGGTATACGATGTAAGGCTAGTTATGTGTCATTCAAGTGAACAAGGGATTATTGTCGCGATGTCATAGTTTCTAAGCTTAAGCAAAATTGATAACTGATAAGAAGTGAATTTCATAAAGCCAATTAGTATCTACAATGAAAGTTGTTATGACTGATGGCTGGTAGAGTGAGTTTTTAGTGTACCCGCGGAATCCATGACAATTTCGTGTCTGGAGTGGGATCATTAGTAGGTACCTATTACCTTCCTAATGATGCAATAATTTGAGCTAAATAGTAAAATAATTGGCAAGATAACTAGTGGATTAGTTTGAGATAATTTAGGAATAATTGAAGAGATAATTGATGTGATAATTTGAGATAATTAGCGCAATAACTCGTGGATGAGTGGGAGCTAATTAGAAGGATATTTAGCGAGATAATTAGATGATTTGAGCTAATAGTAGGAGAGTCGGCACTATTAACGGGTATGTGATCGTTGCAATGGATAATTTTCACATAAAGGAGTAGCTCATAGTTACCTTTAAACTAAATGGATGGGTTGCCTTGATTCTCATGGCCGCAACCCTTTGGTGGCTGGGGGTAAACTACTTATCTTTTTTCGCGCGTTATTTTACTTGCTGAATACAATTTTTTGAAAGTGACAGCTTTCAAAGTCACTTTTAAAGTTAAAAGAGGATTCTGTAGCTGGGTTCGGCTTGCACACTCCGAGTGACTCCGTTCGCACTCCAGCCGTTCGGGTATTGCCTTTTAACGAATCAGACAACGGCTGGAGTGCGAACGGAGTCACTCGGAGTGCGCAAGCCGAACCCAGCTTGTGAAGAGGATTTTGCATACAGTTATAGGTCTTTAGACAAAAAAAAAACATGAAATTGTGTTAAAAAAGTTTTGGCCGCATATGATGAGTACTCCCTACACCGCAAGGTACTTCTTTTTTGTTGCGGCGCTTATGGGTTTGTTCTATTTATAAAAGTATCTTTTTATAAAACAACTTTACGGCCATGAGAATCAAGGCAACCCATCCATTTGGTTTAAAGGTTACTATGAACTATTGTTTTATGTAGAAATTATCCATTGCAATGATCACATACCCGTTAGTATTGCCGGCTCTTGGACTAGAAGGGATGTTTAGGCCCAAAGATCTTGCTAAAAAGTGCTACCTATCGAATAATGCACTAGCCTTTCTGTTGGACGAAATTCGGTATGAAATGGTTGGTGAACAGGTAGCAGTTGTCCGGAAGCCTGGCATTACAACAACCCTGAAAACAATGACGTTCTTTGTGGGTTCACAGTTGAAACCCCTTCTAACATGTGGTTGGGGATGGACCGAAAATAAACAACGTATCATCGATTCTACTAGTCATGTATTCTCTGGTAAACTACTCCTAAAGTATTTAATGGGTCTTGCCGAGGACTACACGAAGGGAATCTTCAACGTTAAGCAGGAGCTTATATTCACCAATTGCTATATCGGTGATGTGGAGGCAGACATCACACTTGATAAAATCGAATGGAAGATTCGCCATATCATATTAGACGATACACAAGTTGAAAATAATGTCACGCATGAATAAGGGGGTGAACGTGCCAATATTCAAATGACATACCGCAAATGGGACCTTTACAAACTTTCTACTTTGCGTGAGACTTGGGCAGTGGGTGTTTGGACTTTGAGAACTAGAAACAGTTTAGAGCGACCACACTTTCTCATCATCGGATTTCAAAAAAACGGATATTGTGATAAGAAATAAAACGACGCCACAGAATAATTCTGTGGCGGTAGTGAAGAACTCCTCGGTATATCCATATGAAAGATGGAATCTAGAATTTTCAAAGAAACTGTATGCATCAGCAAATTACAACTATGAAAATTTCCAAAGTAGCTACTATGGGCGCGAAATGAACGAGCCAATGTTGGATTTTGCAGAGTTCTTACAAAATATACTGTATTTATTATTGACTGCAGCCGACAACCAGATGCCGTAAAGTCCTCCACAGTGGATGTGAAAATTGAATTTCAAACTAGAAAGATCAAATTTCCAAAAGACACTAAAGTTTATGCATTAATAATTATTCATGACACTTATTTCAGTTCCAATCTGTTGAACGGTTCTGTAGCAAATAAATCTTTATATTAGTTTTCATGTTCATTTAGAAAAAGATATTATTTTATGTAAGTTTCTATTTATTGATACAATAAATATAACAATAATAAAGAAATGGCGGACGGAATCGGAATGAAAGACACGACACGAGCGCGGGCGCGGGACGTTCACCAGCAGCCCGTACCACCGACCAGGGGGTCAATTCTTGAATATTCTCGCATACGTAAGTTGTTACGAATTCGAATGACAACAATGTAAATTGAATAGGAAACATTCAAAATCATATCAATTTTAGTATTCGAGATAATTCAAGAATTGGGGGCCTGGCCCCTTAGCTTTTTCTTTCATTGCAACGTTGCCAAATATTACGACGTCTAATAGGCATAATTTACCATGTAGTTTACAGCTAATAAATCCAAAATTAGAAACAAATCTGTTATTCTGTTTTATTATTTGATCTTACAACTTACAACTAACCTAAAAAAGCATAAGATAAATAAAATATAATAACCGAAATTTCTGTTGAAAGACTAATCTGGCAATGGTGTTGAACAATGAACCGAATAGATCCGATTATTAACGATTACTCTCTCCGACTCGCTGATGAAGATACGACACGATTTTCTAAACGGGTGATTTAAATTATTTAACAGAGATTCGAACAGAATTAAACTTAAATATACGAGGAATTAAATAATAAAAAAATGATCTGTTTGTATTTTACACTTTAAACATAAAACCACAATGGTGGACGTAACTGTACGTAATTTGGATGTTTAAAGATGTACCTACATAAGACGTACAAAAGGTACGTTCTGAATGTTCTGAATAGGTCATATGGACGTACGGACGTAAATATGACATAAAATGGACGTTTTATGTAAAGTGTGTTTGCTGGGTTTAACCTTTCTCAATTATTTTTTCCGATATTCCTAATATGCACTCTTTCAAAACAATACGGAAAGAAAAACTGAATGATTGATACAAAAAATATGTAGCCCAAGTTATACTTATATGTGTTAAAATACATGAATTCAAAATATCTGAAAATGGCGATATCTCAAAAAACGGCGAAACTTTTCATGAGGGTGAATATGGTCAAACAGCTTCCAAATGACCCCAACTGTCACTTATTGAAAACTTCCTATCAATGTACCAAACACCCTGTATAATAAACGTATGTATTAAACACAGTTTTGTTTGCATCACTAGTTCTGAAGAACTCAAGTAGTTTTAGTTAATCACATGTGAATCGGTAATATTTACAACCAAGCTAGTTCAATCGGTGTGAAACTAGCAGCGGGTAACCTTTACGATGGAGAAAACGGGCCTTAATGGAAAAATCGATGAAAAATCAAAAGTCACTTTCAAAAATGAAGTTCCGCGATTAAACTTTGTAGTATCATTAAAAATACCCCGCAGAACTTCTATACCAAATCGCATCTCCTTCCATTTTAAGGTCCGTTTTCTCCATTTTAAACGGTGCCTAAGGAGATGCGACTCGGTATAGAAGTTCTTTGGGATATTTCTAATGATACTACAAAGTTTAATCGCGGAACTCCATTTTTGAAATCGACTTTTGATTTTTTATCGATTTTTCCATTAAGGTCCGTTTTCTGCATTTTAAACGGGGCCTAAGGAGATGCGACTCGGTATAGAAGTTCTTTGGGATATTTCTAATGATACTACAAAGTTTAATCGCGAAACTCCATTTTTGAAAGTGACTTTTGATTTCGCATTGATTTTTCCATTAGGGTCCTTTTTTGTCCATCTTGAATAGGGTTGCCAGATAGGAATATCTACAAATCGGGTATACCAATCAAAAAGCTGTTAAAAAATCGGGACTTTCAATGAAAATCGGGACACTTTTTTTTGAAGGAATATTTAATTCAATATAAAGGAAATAGAATGTAAATGAACAAACTTCCAACACAATTTAAAAATAAAAAATAACGCAAAATAATATTGGTACATTATTCGGGACCAAAGTGGTACTTTTATCAAAAAACACTTTAGTCCGCACACTATTTCATGTACTTTAAAAGGATTAAAAGTAGGTACCCTTTCATTCCCTGTTTCATTTAATCCCCGGGTAATAAAGTAAAAATTTAATCCCTTGGGAAATTGTCAATGAAAAACAATGTTTTTTTTTTGGACAATAATAGACCGTCAGATAGTGACAGATTTAGGTGCCCCAAGCCTCGAAGAGGATTGAAAAGTACATCGATTTTGAGTAGGATGAAGGTATTTTTAGGAGTGGCTCCTGGGGATAACATATGGAAAATTCGATTTTACTTATGTTACCCTAAAATGTAATTTTCCATTTGCGACACTCAAGCCAATATGTTTTCTTGCTACCGACGTTGTAGATTTTCATCCTTCTGATGGTCTTGTGTGGAAAAATCGCCCAAAATCTCAATTTTTCCTTACAACATTACGCCCTTATTTCGAAACCTCAGCCACCTGCAACACCCCCTTCTTTGTTTTCACGAAGCCAGGTTTAAATAATTAATCCTTTGATAAACACGGCTTGCGAGAAAATATGGGCACTAGGACGTCTTCCATTTCTGTTACGGAAAATCGAATTTTCCATACGTTATCCCCAGGAGCCACTCGTAAAAATCCTACTCAAAATCGATCTACTTTTCAACCCTCTTCGAGGCTTGTATGCGAAAATGGGGCACCTAAATATGTCACTATCTGACGGTCTATAAAGCTTATTTTGATTTGATTTTAATTGAAATAAAGTGAAATTTAATCCCGGGGATTTAAAG